CACACACACACACACACTCCACCTTAAAGCGTCTCTGAAGAACGATTAATTCTTGTTAAGCGAGAGTAAACACTATAATTAAATTCTTTACAATTTGGGGAAATTGCACGGTTAAAATTCCCTCATGAGAATAAGTGGATTAATGGAGTTAAATCTTCCCCACCTTATAGCCGTTTCATAACTATATAATTAGCCTGTATGTATATACTGGCATGTTGCACACACACACACACACACACACACCATGAGGCTCTGTTTGTTTTGGTATCAGCCCGGTAGTGTTGAGTTGTGTTGTCAGGCTGTTTTCTATGATAAAGCATGCAGAGTTGGTCCCCTGTGGGTCCAGTAACATATGCAAACCTCTCCCCAACGCTGCAATAACATATGCAAAACAGCACCGGCAGCTCCCACCACCCGTTACTGTTTAGATCCCCCCCCTCACCTCTTACACACAAGCCTGTTTGCTTCTCGGATTGTGTTTGATAATTTGCTGTGTGTGTCTCTGTGTGTGTGTCTGTGTGTGTGTGTGTGTGTGTGTGTGTTCCTTCAGATTGTAGTCTGTAACAGTCTGAGCTTTGTGTTGGCCAAAGGATTATCACGGCTTTGCCACCAGCAGCCAAAGCAAGGAGCAGGGGAGAGCGAGGCTTAGAGACGCGCAGTGTATGTGTCGGCACAACTGTGGGAAAACAGTGTGTGTGTGTGTGTGTGTGTGTGTGTGTGTCAGAGAACAAGCGTGTGTGTGTGCATGCATGAGAGGCCACGGACGGCTGGTTGTCTGCGTCCACCTAGCGAAGCCCTGAGGACCCTCTCAAACACCCTCTGATACACACAAACACATGCACTCAATCACACATTAAGGATGTCAAAATGATGCATACTCTCTTTTTCCGTACCCTGTGTTTTAAAACGATACAAATCCATTTTTTTATTTGATTAATAGAATCCAAAAGTACTCGAGCTTTAAAAAAAAAAAAAAAAAAAAAAGAACACTCGCCAAATTTTCAACCCTAAAGGAGAGAGCAGCTATGGTCTGTTCAAATTCACAGGTCGGCATATACTTCGATTTTTCAAGTCCTTTTTGAAGACGCAAAGTTATATTTGTGTCTTTAATACACAGAAAGCAGAGGAGGTCCATGTATCTGATGACTCTGTCTCTTTAAGACAGTGTGCAGAATTTGTTTTGGTAATTATAAGCAAGACTTCACCTGGTATGAGGGGCCTGGGACTTGTGTTTGTTGTCATGGTATCTAAAAATGTATTGATATTGCTGATTATTACTACTATCATATCAAAGTTTAAAGACTCTGGTATCGTGACAACCCTGACACACACACACACACACACACACACCCTAAATAAGGCTGAGAAATTATCGAGATTTTATCGTTATGGCGATATTAGCATCCTTAAAAAACACATGGTGAAAATCTGTATTTATTGCAATAAGTTAAAAAAAAAAAAAAAACACTTAATGTAGTCAAGCTCAACATGAATACATTATCCAGTGGTACACAGGCCATGCTTTCACACCATTTTGATGATGTCAGATGAAGCTAAAGCTAACGATCAGCTACTCTCAGGTTGATAAGTGCCAATTATGTGGAGAATAAAACACGTATTTGGATTTATTTAGGAGTTAGAAGGGACATGTTGCAAACACAGGTTTTTGGTTCAACATGGAAAATCAGCAGACGGACAATAAATGTGAGTCAAAGCAGGATGAGCGTTCTCGGTAAAAGCTTGCCTTGCAAATGCATAGGACAAAGTCAGCAAAGGCATGAAAGGTACGGCTTTGTCCACAGGAAGCGCTACAAATTAAAATGCACAAGTTAAAAGTTCCTCACAGGAGCTTAGATAAAGTCAAGAAAATAACCAGTACGGATCTTCTGGAAAATCTGAACAAACCAACCTCACCATTTAAAGAGTTGTTAACACAATCTGCACTCCTGTTCCTTTCAGTTTTACAAAACAAAAAACAAATGGGTTTTTTTTGTACGATCTCAAGTCAGACAAGGTCACAGTTAATTTTGTTGAACAAGTTAAATTGTGAAACTAAAAAAAGCAGATGTGCGCCCTCGGTAACAGTAATACTGAAACACTCAGTTTGGCAAAGGAGGGCCTGTTATTCTGGTTTGTGTCATCACCATAGTAACCATACTTTCATTTTACCAGACTGCAAACTGTAGCTGCAGAGAAGTGTCAAGGTACCTTAAAGCACCAGTATGCTCCCTCCTCACCTCTCGTGGAGTTTGAGATGGTCTATCTCCGGCCATTCCTACACAACATTCAACAAAATGTTCACTTGTACATGTGTACACACTGACACAGCAGGATAAATATCTTAGCTGTACTAATAGACCATGTTTGTTCTCATGTTTAAACATCAATCTTTCATCTCAGTACGACCGGTGTTTCAACTCTCCATACATGTTGTCATTAGAAAGAGATATTAGGACTTTCACATTTAAAGGTTATTCAACAACATTTTTAGGAGCATGCTCGAGAGAAACCTGACCTTAAATCATTGTTGAGACAAAGACAGAGACGGTGACCGCAAACACGTCAACATTACAAATATTGAAACCAAACATCAGTTATTTAAGTCAAAGTGAATGAAAGTACGTCATACTACAATTCTTTTTGAATCAGTTTCACTATGAGCTTTAGCTCTGAGGACACACCTGCTGGGAATCACCTGACACAGGATTCATCATGGAGCGTTCAGATGATTTGTTTATTTACAGCTGCAGGAACAGTGCGTAATAACAGACATTTCTGTTTTTGTAACATCTTTGACCATTTTCCAACGCAGTCTCTGGGCAAAACCCTTGTATCGTCGGCAATGAGGTGACTGGAAGGATTAGACAAGTACACAGAATTGTTTTGCTGAGCTTCCAAAAAAGATTTAGGCCATACAAAAAATTATTTCCTTTTATTTATCCCTTCAGTCAGGAAAAATTAGTTCAGCTCAAAGCCTTCACTGTGACAAATATTGACCCACAAGTTTGTTGTTAAATGTCAACATCTATCAAAGATGATTTAAAACATGTCAGGAGAGAGAAGGCTTCATGACTTACTGTAAACACACACTGTCAAAAATAATACAATACTTAACGAGGACAACAATATGAAACATGATTTAATGTCTGGCTGTGGTCAAACAACACAAACTAATTTAAGTGGATGAAAACAGTCCTTAAATGTTGCGTAAATCAAAGTTAAGAATCAGATTCTGTGAGGGTTAAACAAAAAACAATCATGTTAGTGCATCAACAAAAACTACCTCGACATGCCTTTTTTTATGCCTTTATTTTAGAGCTATCACATTGTTAGAGTCAGAAACTGTGACGAGAGGGAGAGTGGAATGACATGCGTGAAAGGAGCCACAGGTCGGATTTGAACCCGGGGCGTTAGGCCTCTGACACCAAACCGCTAGGCTACCGGGGGCGCCCCCTACCTTCACATGTCTGCGTTACCCAGCGTCAAAAGTTGGATTTCTAAAGCTGATTTGCTTCTATAGAAATGACAAATCTCATGAAAGTAATTAAAGTTTTCTTCCTGAGCCGTACCAAACCGAAACGATCTGAAAAACCTGCCTGTGTCGTATTGACTTTCACGGCACAGCCAGACTCTCCAGGACTCCTCTCTAAACCCCCGAGAAAGAAAGGGAAAGACACCAAACTGATATGATCCCTCAGGCCCTCACCCTGCTGGCAATTTAGATTTAGCCGATTGGAGGCGGCGGCAGGAAACAGAGAGCGGGAATGAGAGAGGGAGGATAATTAATATTGTATGAGGCAGACAACTCCGAGTCCTCACACGCACACCTATACAGACTCACAGGCACGCCCGGTCCTCAGACATCTATCACAGGTTGATGAGAGAATAAGAGGGGATTTTATTTCTTGTTCTTTTTTTCATTGTGTGTGTGTGTGTGTGTGTGTGTGTGTGTGTGTGAGATCAGAGTGTGAGGAGATAACACAAGCCCAAGGTCAGAGACAGAGGGAGACCTAGAGCCAATTTACATGAAGGATGAATGGGAAGAGGGGCTGGATGGGTGGAGGTTCAGGAGGGAGAGTTTTAGACGGGGTGGGGGGAACTGTGATCTCCTTAGGGTGCACAAGTGTGTGTTTTCTGTGTGTGTGTGTGTGTGGAGGTCTGTGATCTCCTGGCCTTTGTGATGGAGATGGGGCCCGGCCGGCCTGACCCGATAATGACGCGATGCTCTAATAGCATTCATCCTTTCTGCCGCAAAACTACTCAAGCGGAAAAGAAAGAGAGAGGGGGGGGGGGGGGGAACAAGTGTGAGGGGTAGATGTGGGGATGGAGGGATGGAGGGGTGTGTGTGTTTTTGAGGGAGAGAGGGGAAAAGGAGGTTAGCTGAGCTATGTTTAAGAAATGACGCGGCGCACAAATCATTTGTAATCTCGAAAATCAGGGCTGAGAGACGAGGGGGGGGGGACATTTGAAGGTGTGTGTGTGTTTTAGAGAATGGCATTATGTGTGTGTGTGTATGTGTGTGTGTGTGTGTGTAACATTAGCAGTAAATGCACTGTGCCTGTGTCTCCTCTCTCTCTTTATCAGTGTATATTTGCTGTGAGCGCTGGAGCATGGAAGGCTTTCAGAGCACTGGCCCATAGGGGACGGGACCCCATGTCCAACACACACACACACACACACACACACACACACACACACACACACACACACACACACACACACACACTGAGCAGTTACTTATCATACAGGGTCATTACAGGCCTCTAACTATAGCTCTGGTAATCACTGGTTTATATCAGCGCCCATATTCAGCATACAATACACAGCAGGTATCAATGGAGAGCGTGGGAATGATGGCGGCTGAGAGGAGGGACAAATGGAACGTTAAACCATTGCATTTTTTTTATTTTATTTTTTTATGAAGGGAAATTATCAGTAAATTGGATTTTAATTTGGTTTCCTGGTAACACACTCCTGTCATTTTCTCTGTGTGTCCTCAGACTAAGCCAGGTGTTCCTGGAAAACAGCGTGGAGAGGACCACGGTCGAAGCCCCGCCTCCTGCTACAACTGCTCCAGGAAAGGACACTTTGGACATGTGAGTAGCTGGTCCTGGTTTGATTGTCACCAAGGTCAATTTAAAACCTTCAATGACGACGTTACACATCTGCAGGCACATTTAATTTATCAACAGGGTTAAAAAGAAATCAGAACCACAGAAATTGAAATTCTGTTAAGTCTAAAAGTGAGAAAACAACCAGAAAACACTCAAATATGAGCAGAATCGTCTGCTGGTAAACATTTGAATGTTGTTTCCTGAGTGTGGCTACCATTAGCAGTGCTAACGCCGCGAGCCCTCAGTCCTCTTTGCACGTTACACATTCACGTTCTAAACGTAGTGACACGTTGCTCCGCTCGATATGCCACTTCAACCTGACCCAGCCTACAGGTGCATGTGTGAACACGCAACTCAGAAAGATTTCAGGGGCGGCCTGAGACTTCTCTAGAAATCCTCTGGAGGACTTGTGTGAAAAGGACTCATGTTGTATCTCCCATGTTTGTATGGTGGCCCGTAAAGGACAAAGCTCATTCTAGAGAGCCTGTTCTACTTTTTTTAAATGATGTCTTCATGCACGTTTGGAAGGAGAGGCTAGTGGGAAGCTTTGCAACCGCTGTGCTAGATACCATTAACTCTTACCTTCATTGATCTTCATATGTCGTCTTATTATGGGATTTTGTGTGTGCATACAAGCGCTGTAATACATTTGTGCGTTCCTCAGGCGTGTACACAGCGGAGGATGTTTAACGGGACTTATCCCAGCACGCCTTTCATCAACTACTATGACACCATGGAGGACATAAACCGCAGAGGACACAGGGCTAAGATGAAGATTAAGGGTAAGAATCCTACTCACCGACTTCTGCTTTATGACGACAGTCTCAAACTTCACGCTAAGCCGAGGCCTTGAAGCACCAATCACAACGTCATAGTGTGGCATTCTTATAATTTGCTTCAGTAAGGTACCGGTATGTTGTTGCATGATAAGACTTTCATTTTAAACTGCTCGTTCTTGGCTTCACTTTGCATCTTGATACTGTGGAAACATCGAGATGTTGAGCAAGTCACTGAAGTCTTTTTGTTTCTGTCATCCAGACTTGAAGAAAAGTGGCCTTTACCCTGCTGCTTCTGAAGCCCCTGTCACTCCAGGTCCACCAAAGAAGAAACAGAAGCTGAGCCATGCCAAGAACAACCAGAAACCGAACCACACACCTCGCCAAAACGCAGACAACCACAAACCCAACCACAAACCCAACCAGACACCGCGCCCAAACACCGAAAAACACAAACCCAACCACAATCCGAACCACACACCTGGACAAAAAACCGGCAACAACAAACCGAACCGGAGTCACATCTTTTTTCAAGACAATGACTTTGAACCTCCTGCAGCCAAAAAAAGTAAACGCAACAAACACAAACAACCGGAGAGCGCTGGCAACGTGAAACCATGGAAACCCAAGAGACCTGTGCCCACCTCGAGGGAGCAACCAGCTAAACTGATTCTGGACGAAGCCGACGACTTCCCCAGAGGAGGGGCTGCGAAGAAACAGAGAAAGAAGAAAGAGAAGCACGCTCCTTCAGGGCCACCAGGGGGACACGGAGACGGCAGAGCGGATCGCCTCAGTTGGACTGTGAAAGGAGAGATGCAGGGGTCGCAGCAGCAGAAAGGAGAGAAGAAGAAGAGGAAAAGGAAGCAACAAGGAAAGGGGGACAGTAACAAAAACCATGATGCACACATGTACCCAACGGATGAGAACCTGTTTATCATAAAACAGAAGAAGAGAAGGAGCAGATAGCATCGGGCTGCGTGAGGTTTGGTTGTCAGGACTTGACGGGACCTTTTAGTATTGTGTGTTCAAGACCATAAAGGATGGGGTCAGACATCTGCTACATTCAGGGTTTGATGGAAAACAGTTGTTGCCTGTGTTGCTTTACAGGGTTAGTAGATCTTTTTAAAGATGTCATTTGAAGTCACAGCTGGAAAAGCACCGTTGGAATGAATCGATCTCTTTCAGTTTCAGATCCATTGTTTACCACAGTTTTAGATTTTTATTAAATCTGAGTATGCCTTAACGGTGGAGTCAGTAGCTTTTTTTCTTTGTAACTTGTAAACACAACATTCAAACTGGGCCCCCCCCAAGTGCACACTCACTGCAGGACGTACTGTGTGTGTACGTTTACTGCTTGTACCTACACCGCAAGCCAGCATATACTTACCGCCGGTTTTTGGCACCTGTGTGTCCAACAGAAAGAAGAACATCTCTGTGTCCACGTGTGAAAGCCAACACAAGGTTCAATCGCTGATTTTTATCCAGTCTTTAAATCACCTTTTTGCTGTAATTGGCTTGGGGTAAAACATGCCAGCTCCCCACCCAGAAACGTCCCGAGTCAACCAAAACAAAACATGAAAATCCAGGCACCGCACATGTATGGACACCCAGAAGGGATAGTTGAGTCTATTTTTTCAGGGAAAAGCTACAGACTCTGCCTTTAAAGCAATCATTGGATGCACAAATTATCATCGGATCAAGTTTGTCTTGCTGCAATTATATTCCTTTGGATTTAAATGAACCTTTATTACTGCACCTTCAGTGTAAGAAAAGGGGAAAATTCAGTTATTGTATGTGAAAGTGTGTCTACTGTTGATCTGATAGTCATACTAATGGACATAATTAGTGGATATTCTTCAAAGTTGCGGTCTTTCTCTTACTAAATGTGCTACATTTGTGTTAACAGACACCCTGTAAACAAACGAAAGTCGAACTTTGGAAGAAATCTGCTTGACTTGTCTGACTCGGAGCGGTAAATTCCTCACGTTAGATTCAGAAAATTCATATTTTAAATCAGAAGAGAACAGATTTTGTCCCTCATCACTTTGACTGAAAGCGCTACAGGAGGGACTCTATGTCCTGTGTAAACGAGAGGACGAGGTACAGGTAACACAACCTGTGTCAACGTCATGAGGCCACCTGGTTATTGTTTGATGACAGACTGTGAACCTGTTTTCATGCTAATAGTACCACCTGCTATTGTAAAGATTAAAAAAGCCCCCTTCTGGTCAGTGTGAGAATTACAGTAATTAAAGTAGTTCATGAATCCAGCTAAGAGTTCTCACATTCTGTTCAGTGATGACTTGAGTCTACTGTTCATGTTCAGTACTACAAGGATTTTAGATTTTGCATTAAAAAGTGGACATGTCATTACTTTCATAGTCCTTCAGTTTCTTTTTCTCACATAATTCACGTTAAAACAGATGCTGCTCTTTAAAAGTCCTGTAGGAAAATGTGTGCCTCCACTCTGAACACAGATTTAAAGTTGCTGCTGTTTGCCGTTATAACCAAAGGATTGTAGATTTGTAATAACAGAAAGTGTCCCATACGTTTCGAAGAGAAGGGGTGCCTTTTTCTATGACACTTGTTGATTTGTAAATGATCTAAATATTCGATCAGACTGTAAATACACGTTCTCATCACTGACATACAGCCCTGACAGTATTAACAATTAACCCACTCCAAGCTCTGTCATGATGAAACCATACTAAAAAATGAGAGTTTGATGGTTCCTGTATTTCATGATGATCAATAACCCAAACTTTGTGGTACGAATGTGACCTATTAGATCTGTTCAGTAACTTCAAACTGTTCCATAATAATTTGTGTATTTAAAAAGTGATCCAATAAAACAATCTGGTTCAAGTCCTAAAATGTATTTCTCTCTTCACTTGATACGCACCCTGTGGGGTTCACAAACAGATTTTTTTGAGGGTTACTTTCACATTCCTTCACAATGCTCTTACGTTACCTCACATGACTTTTCTTATTCGTCCTTCTCTCCTGAGCAGTTTCTCTTCTTTCATTTAAACTGGGCATATGCTGATCTAGCATCACTGCTCAATAGGAATGGTTAAGTAATTAGTGAGCTTGAACAGATTCTTCAACCAGCGGTCTCTACAGAAGAAAGCTGAATGTTTATCTGCAGGATGCTGTCTGTCTCATCATCCAGTAACTTGTGCAGAAGTCCACAGTAATGTTACACTTCTGCAAGCTGCGCCAAATTACGTGAATTCCGTAATTCTTGCACATCTTTCGGGGTAAGTAGGCTAATAAAAACTGTTCTTTGGATTTACATCCAGCATGCAGATGTTCTGAGTGCAAATGCAATAACTGGTCACAGATGAGTGGGCCTAAGCATCCTGCAGATAGCTTTACCGCTTTCTCCTGGAAAAGTCTAACATTAGAATCCGTTCAAAATTACTTTCAGACCACTTACCTAATGCCCAGTAACATTTTAAAACTCCAAGCATTCGTGTAACGCATAAACATACAGAAAGGGAAAAGAGCTCAAAAGTTACTTACCGTGACCCCCGTGACCTCAATTGACCTGATAAAACACAGGAAATAAAAGTAATAATAATAATAACTTTATTTATATAGCACTTTTTAAAAACACAGGTTTACAAAGTGCTTTGACAAACAAGAACAAAGCAAACTAAAGCAAACACAGAAGAACAGAAACAACAGCAAGAACAAACAAATGCAAAATACTAAAAAATAATTAAATACAATTCAACAGAAAAGAACCCGAAGTGCACGATACCCAACAGACATATATAACCCGACCATCACAAGAACCATCATAAGAACCATCATAAGAACCATCATAAGAACCCAGGCAACACAAGAACCATCATAAGAACCATCACAAGAACCATCACAAGAACCCAGGCAACACAAGAACCATCACAAGAACCCAGGAAACACAAGAACCATCACAAGAACCCAGGAAACACAAGAACCATCACAAGAACCCAGGAAACACAAGAACCCAACAACACGAGCTGAGACCAAGAGGAACCAAAGATTTAAAAATAATATGTAAGAAACTAAAAGAGCTGAAAGCAAATCAAAAGATAACAGCAATAAGAAGGTAAGAGCAGTAAAAGAAATAGAAACAAGTGGTAAAAGGATAAAAAAAAAACTATAATATTAATAAAAAGTAAAAGTAAAGTAGACAAAGTAAGTAAGTCTTTGTCTAAAACTAAAAAAAGTCTTTGGTTGAAACAGCATTTGAAGATTATAATTAGTAATCAACATAGTTATAACAGTATAGGAACACAAAGCTACAAAAATGAAACGCTTTGCTTTTTTATAATTGGCAAATACCACATTAAACAGTAACCCGTGAACGCAACACATTCACGTGACGCATTACGTCGCCCCGCCCCGCCCCGCGTGGAGCACGTCCAAGTAGCAGTCACATACATGACTCACACATTCACTTTCTGAGCGTCCTGGCCTCAGAGGAACACTTCCCGTCTGTGTCTTGAGTCGACAGGGAGCAGAAATGGAGAGCGGTTCGTCTTCAACCGGGGACAGCGGACTGGACCGGGCTGTCGGTCTGTGGCTGCAGTATGACCAGGTGAGCAGTCCTAACCTAGCCTAGCCTCACCTGCTGTGACTGTAATGTTCCACTGTGCCACTCAGAAGTGAAATGTTTAGTGTCGCGATATGATACAAAATAACAGGTCCCATTCATTTCCGCTCTTGAATGTCTCACAAGATACATTTTGCTTCATAATAATGTTTTGTTACTGATTCCCCGGAAGTCCCCAAAAAGCACAAAAACGAAACAACTCCTGCACGAACAGGTAAGTGAAAATAGTTTTTGTGCACACAGGACATTATCTTGTTTGCACAAATTATCATCTAACCGGTTCCGCATTGGATTAAACGAACTTAGTACTTTTCCTTTCATGATAAAAAGTCCACACAACAGAATGATAATCACAAATTATTTACTTGAGTTACAATTCTGTTCTCTTTAAGCCATTTCCCCTTTTCCCCCTTTTTAAGTATTCTCAACTTACTTCTGGAAAGCTTCATCAGAAATACACACAATAACATGCAAAGGGAATTATGAGGTTTTTGCAATAAACATACTAAAAGTCTGAATTTATCAATAAATAAAATAAAGTTGGATGACTCTCCTGCTGACTGTTTCTGATGTCATGCATGGTCGTTTGTGCACACTGCACTAGTCTGGTTTCATTTTCTGTTTTGTTGTTTCACAGATAGGAAATATGTATTGCATTGTCTGTTTATTTCCTGTACCGTGCAGCCCTAGTTAGTAGCTATCACAGAGGAAAGTTCTGGTTTAAAGATGTTAAACACATATCATTTAGCACGTCACATGTCCTAAATCTATAATTAGTGAATTTGCAGGTCTCACTAAGTTGAACAGCACAAGGCTAATGTGACTTATCATCCATCCAGACATCGATCCTTCACAAAGACAGTCATTCATGGCTCTAAAGAGAAACGGGACGCCACCAATCAAGTGCCGTTAAAGAGGAGACACTGGCTCATCAGTCTCAGATAATTGTGCATAGGAAGCATGATCAGCAGCCAATTCAAACAAGAAGCCTCATCTGAACTTATTTCCTGTCTGTATTTAGTTGTCATTTCTAACCACAGCACTCTATGAAAGTTTTGATTTTTTTTGATCTAAATATTTTTAATCTTTTAATGAACATACCTGAAATGTGTTTGTGAGTCACACAGAGGAGCAGATGTCCTCTGTGAAACTGACCCCAGCTGAACATGATCTGAACAAGAGCTGAAACATTGAATGAGCCTTTATGTTCATTTTCACTTTCTCTTCATCTCATGAGAATGAAGGACTTGAGTCAGCGTTTCTGTCGAGGTTCAGATCTTTGCCTGTTAAGCGAGTTAAGTTTGCAACTTTTGTCATCCAAGAAAAAAAACTTGCTTAACATTTTGATAATCAGTTAAAAGTTTAAGATACTTAGAAAAATGAAATCAGCTTTTTTAAAAAAAGAGGCTTGGAGCAAGTTTTGGACTACTACAGCTCTGACAGGAAAAAGCAACATTTTCATATAAATAAGTCAAGTTAAGCTTCAGGAAATTGCTTTACAGTTTGACTATTTTCTTATTTCCTATTGGATTATTCAGCCGACCCTGAAAGAACACAGACATAACAATAGTTGTTGCTTTCAACAAAGGGGAAACCTTTCAAACCATTCTGCAGCACTAACAGTTACACCAGTCAGATACTGTGTTTCAGTCTACTCTAACACGTTCTCTATCTGTAATCTCCACTCGAGCCGTCACAATACAAGAATTTAAATCTTCAAAATGATACCAGTAAAACATCAAACACTTTTGAAATCTGTTAGATCACCATGGCAACACAGAAGCTGTTTTCCTAGGCCCCCATATATTGTAACTTCTTGTTTTTAACTTACCAAAAATTGCAAACCAAGTCCTGCACATGCAGTTTAGACAGTGACTCCTGCTCTGCTCTCTTTCTGTGTTCATGAGACTTCAGTGCTTCTTTTCTGGATTGGATTGTTTTGAACAACGTGGTTTGAATGTCGTCTCTGCATCATATTGTAGTTTTCAATCAAGGATGATAATTAATGTGAATGTCTATGAAATGTCGGTGTGTTTTTCCTTCCCAGAACCCAAAGACGGTGTCCATGGTGCAGGCGCTGGTGAAAGAAGGAGCAGTGGAGGCTCTAAAGAAATGTTTCTCCTCCAGGATGGAGTTTGGTACGGCAGGTCTGAGAGCACCCATGGGCCCCGGCATTTCCTGTATGAACGACCTCACTATCATCCAGACCACGCAGGTCGGTTAATGGATAAACTACAAGCCGGCCGCTCATGAAGCCTGGAGTCACATGCGAAGGCAGACAAAACACATTATTGATTCTCGTTCTGTGCTGTTAGACTCCAAACTCTCGTGATCGGCCGCATAGCTCACATGTCATCATCTCGTTACCCATGACTGTAGATCTCAGACATTTCCTGTTTCCTGTTGCTTGTCCTTAAATGCCCTCCACTGCCACGTTCAAAATGTGTTCTCACATCCTCCAGTCTTTTCTCTCTGACAGGGTTTCTGCCACTATCTGGAGGAGAGATTTGAGAACCTTAAAGAGCGAGGGGTCGTGATTGGTTATGACGCCCGAGCCCACCCTCCCAGCGGGGGCGGCAGCAAGCGCTTTGCCAGCCTGGCTGCGGCTGTGTTCATCAGCCGAGGGGTGCCGGTCCACCTCTTTGCTGACATCGTCCCGACACCCTTTGTGGTAATCACTTCTTCTTCTTCTTTTATTTCCACATCTGGGTTTTTCTTTTTTTTTTCTTTTTACATGGAAGTCACAGTCACAGCCCACTCTGACCTTTAAAACATGAAGTCAGATCAGTTTGTCTTGTGTCATGTTTTCTACAGGGACAGGCGGCTCAAGCTAAAGGGCAAACTCCATTGAAAAAGCAAACTCTGCCTTCACATAGCACATGTTGCATAATGCACGTATGGTTCATAGAGTTAAGCTTTGGTCAAGACAAGAGGGCACGATTCACAAACCTTAGTGTCTATAAAACCTGAACGTACAGACGGATCAAAGCATGAAACACAAGGTCTGCAGGTTTTTATTTATTTTAGTTTTTTTAAGGAACACAGCCTTTAAAGATATGGATGCATATTTGATTTTCATTAATAAATTGAAGTCTTTATTTTAGACTTCACTCACTGAAGTCTAAAATAAAGAAGTGTGTATGTCACAAGAAGGAAGTAGAAGTGGTAGAGTGATTGTAGAGAAGATCTGTGGGCAACAAGCTGCATGAAGTTTCACTTTCAGTAGAAAGGAAGAAAAAAAGTACATGCTGTTACTCACTGCTCAAAGTAGGGTCAAACAATAAAGTCATATTCACACATGATTTGATGTTTATGTTTGAAATTGGCATGATTACTTGCATTTCAAAACAGCCTAGTAAGGAAAAAAATACATGTTTTTGAGCTCCTGTTAAAAGTGGATTGAGTTTTTTATTTAGTGATGTGTTTTTTCTACATCTGTCAACATTTATTTTTCTCACATCTTCCTCATGCACAATACACTGTATGTTACACATTTGTCTAGAATAATATTTAAAAATGAACATGTTCCCATCCTGCTCCCTGCAGCCTTTCACAGTGTCCCACCTCGGGCTGTGTGCTGGAATCATGGTGACCGCCTCCCACAACCCCAAACAGGACAACGGCTACAAGGTAACACCTTTAACTCTCTCTCTCTCTCTCTCTCTCTCACACCTCATTTATTTCTCTGATTGGCAGTTAGCTTTAGCATTTAGCATCATACGAATAAATGGATCAATGGAACATCACAGATATTTGTTTTCCTAGCCTATTTTCAACTTCTTTGAAACTCACATTTCAAGGTCTTTTTTTCTCTTAAGTCTGAAACAGAAAATTATGTTTTTTTATTTTTTTTTATGATCAGACATGAAAAGCAATTTGCAAACACCAGAGAAATGGTTTGGCATAATTTTCTTCGGCAGCATATTTGATAAATAAGTAAAAATAATCAGAAGTCTTAATCGCTGGTTTAAAAAACAATTACGGCCCTCACATGATTTTATCTGCCGTCCTCTGCTTTGTGTGCGTCTCAGGTGTACTGGGAGAACGGCGCTCAGATCGTGTCTCCTCATGACAAATGTATCGCCAAAGCCATCGAGGAAAACCTGGAGCCCTGGCCCAAGTCCTGGGACACAGAGGAGGCCCTGAAGAGCCCCTTACTCAAAGACCCGTACCAGGACATCCACACACAATACTTCAAAACCATCCAGAACCACTGCCACAACAGGTGCTCTTTAGAAAACAACACACAGACCAGTTTAAACCATTTCAAATGATACCGTGTTGAATTGAGGACAAACGAGGTCACTGCTTTGACTCTGCTCTATCTTTATTTTTTTTACAGGGACATAAACAAGAGTTCAGAGGTGAAAATTGTGCACACGTCCGTGCACGGCGTCGGCCACACATTCGTTCAGTCGGCTTTCAAGGCCTTTGACCTTCCCGCTCCATACGCTGTAGAGGAACAGAAAGATCCAGACCCTGAGTTTCCCACCGTCAAATATCCCAACCCGGAGGAAGGAGAGGGAGTCCTGGTATGTTCTGAACATTTTACACGCCCTCATACGTAGACTAGCACTTTTCAAAAACAAGTTAGAAATCATGAAGAATTTAAAAAAACAGCAAAAAACAAATCCACAAACTGACAAAACATAAAAAAAAAGAGCATTAAAATAGTCGAGTCAGGAAGCAGCAAATGATGACTTTCATAAAGTCGCTAGGAGAAAGCAATGACATGATTTTGGTTCATTGTCTCAGTTGACAAAGCAGGACTGCGTAGCTTTTGTCACCTGAGTATCAAAACATAGCTCTGAGTCAAACATGACCCCAAGGTCGTGAGGTCATGTTTCCGGGCCGCTTTGTAAACATTATCAGATGGGAGAGATTACTAATGTAGCTAGTTCTGCTGCTAGAGGGAGTAATTAAAAGCTTGTGTGTTGAAGTGTGTGTGTTTGTGTGTGTGTTTTGCAGACGCTGTCCTTTGCGTTGGCAGAGAAGGAGGGGGCCACCGTCGTGCTGGCAAACGACCCTGATGCTGACCGACTCGCAATTGCTGAGAAACAGGAGAGGTGTGTATTTGTGTGTGTATATGATAAAGGATTTTTTAAGTTAAGAATATAATGATTTCATACTAAAACATGCTCAAAATGTTTAAGTTAGAGAATAGCGTTGTGTGTTTCCATGCGAAAGTGCAACAGGAAGTTGTTGTTTTTTTAAACTGCACTCACAGTGCTTAAAGCGCCTTTCTATTAGAGATGATTTTGGCGCCCCCTGTGGACAAAGCGGTACCTCTTAGCTCTTTGCTGATTTTGTCATGTACATGTTTAAGTTGTGTTTTTTTTAGCTAAAAACAAACTCATCCTGCATCCTTTTAACAGTTAAACGTATAGAATGTATCATTTAATGACAGTGGAAGTGCTCTTAAGATCACAGACTAGTGATGTACAGAGCAGATCTTCTTTTATTTTTGACATCTCTCTCTCTCTCTCTCTCTCTCTCTCTCTCGCTCCGTGTCAGTGGACGGTGGAGATTGTTCAGTGGTAATGAATTAGGAGCGTTGCTTGGTTGGTGGATGTTCCGCTGCTGGAAACAGCAAAACTCCGACGCTGCTGCCGTGAAAAACCTCTACATGCTGTCGAGCACCGTCTCATCCAAGATTCTGAGAGCCATCGCTGTCAAAGAAGGCTTTCACTTTGAGGTAACGACATCAAGGTCGAGATATTTTTTATAAATGACACCTGGCAGAAACGAGACATAAAACACTTAATGCAGTTCATTTTTCCAGTTTTCAGTAAATCTGATTTTGCAAAGCTGTGCCATCCTATTCTTTAAGTGACAGTGACATTTAAGTGACAGTGCAGCTAACGGCTGAAACAGACAGTTGTGAGTTCTCTTTTAAAGGTAGGATACTGCTCATGTTGCTATTTCATACTCACTCACCACTGTTTGACAGGAAACACTTACAGGCTTCAAGTGGATGGGAAACAGAGCCAGAGACCTTTTGGACCAGGGAAAATCTGTTCTGTTCGCCTTTGAGGAGGCCATAGGTATGAACACACACACAGACCCAATTGAGCGATTCCTCACTGCTCATGGTCCTGATTAATTCCTTGTGGCATGATGTTATAAATTATCTGCGATGTCACAAGCTGACTATTTGAATCATCCTAAAATATTGAATCTGGGGGAAATCTCTGTCTTCTTTTTGAGAATAAAATCCTGAAGCCAGCTCCATAGATCCAAAAAAAAAACAGCCATGCTTGATAAGCCATTTAAAAAAAAAAATGAGTCACGCCTGATGTCTTGGGTTGTTTCATCAAAACCAGGAGTACCTCTTGTAACTTCTACAGTTTGATCTGCAGAGGAGATTTTCCATCTTGTGCCTAAAGCCGATGTTGCTCATTTATCAGCCTGACATGAAGCAGAACATGTTGACTGAAGAGTGTTTGCTCTGGTGTTTTCACCTTCTTGGTTTCATGTTAATTGATTAAATCAATCATTGAAATTCAAAGAATGTGTGAACATTTCTGACATGATAACTGAGCATCTTGTTCTTGGTTATTTGAAGATTTAACCGTGGACTCTGCTAAGGGTCGTTCAGGGTAATTATAACAAAGTTGTTCACAGACCCACATGGTTTTAGGGCGTGTCTGTTTAACATGATCATGATGCTCTAATTGGAATTGCATGCCTTTACATGAACTGTAAAATCAAGTTTGTATTTAAGCTGGAGCTTAACACAAACAAGGGGAGAACTGTGCATGTGTGTTTTGGTGTTTTCACACATGTACAAAACTCCTTACAATTTCCCAAACTTTTGGGGTGAGCTGCCCCGTCTTTACACAAACTTTTCCTGCTAGCCCCGATAAGAATTTCAGCATGAGGCCGCGGAGAGTCGATGTGTGAACACAGCAGAAATATGATGTTTATATCACTCAAGCGGTGCCATCATTGTGCACATAATGAAGCTGCTACCCCCCCCCCCCCCCCCCCCCCACACACACACACACACACACACTCCATACAACAGATGAAAACTTTGTGTTGTGAGGGTCATAATTGGATATGCAACTCAGGAAGATTTCAGAGGCAGGCTGTCCTGACATTTTCTAGAAGTTGTTCTGGAGAGCATGTGTGAAAACAGTGTGTGTGTGTGTGTGTGTGTGTGTTTCAGGGTATATGTGCTGTCCCTCTGTATTGGATAAGGATGGAGTGAGTGCTGCAGCGATAGCAGGAGAGATGATTTCCTATCTGGCCACTAAAAGCACAAGCCTTTCTCAGCAGCTCACCGCCGTCTATGAAGAGTAAGACTCGTGTGCATTTTGTATCACAGTAATAGAACTCAAGAGTCAAACTACAGACTGTAACTCTGTCTCACTGTCAGGTACGGCTACCACATCACCAAGAACTCCTACTTCATCTGCCATGACCAGAATGTGATCCGCAGCTTGTTCGAGCGTATTCGCAACTACAATGACCAGAAGGACTCGTATCCCACTGAATGTGGCCGCTTCTCCATCTCCGCCGTACGAGACCTGACCACCGGCCACGACAGCAACCAGCCTGACAACAAGGCTGTAAGTCAAACACACGTCCTACATGCGTCCCCCCAGAGCAGGAGTCTATGATGTTTTTTGACCTGCAATGTTTACAGGTTTAATTTGCCTGCAGTTAGAGATGACTGAGACTTTATTTTGTCAGTTTAGTTCAAAATGAAAGTAAAAGGTTTGAAATATACAAGATCACAAATGGTTTGAGTTAAAAATAAGCTTTGGTACATTTCCATACTAGTGATGACTGAAATAACATAGATTGGGTCGTTTTAAAGCTGGTGGTGGCAAATAATATCAACATATTGACACCTTGACAACCTTAGTAGCAGTTTTCAGCTGATTTTTGTCGCTGTCCAGCCCACAGTTGTACTGCTTCGGTTCATTCGCACCTCTGATATAGTTTTTTTTGGCTCAAGCAGGCAGCTGTTTTAGTATTGCCCTGTAGACACCTTCATGCTACCAAGACTACCTGTGGGTATAGTAGAGCATTACGCTTCTACAGTATAGAGCCAAATAACTCCCTCAGGAGTAGCTAGACACCGAACGGAGCAAAAGACTTGCATTCGCTTGTTTGCCAGAAACACAACTCCAAATGTTACAGAATTGTTTTTCATATCTGGATGTGTTCATAAGATACAATACAATTTATTTCAGTATTGTGTGGCATGGTTTTATAACACTGCCCCCAAGTGGTCACAACAAATCAGCTTTCATAAAAACCTGACCTGCTGGTTTTTAGAGTGAACTAAAACTTGACTGAGGAAAACTTCAGCGCCCCAAATCATCAGGTCCAAGTTTGTAAATGGACTTGAGCTTGTAGCGCTTTTCTAGTCCTCTGACTACTCAAAGCCCTTTTACACCGCAGGTCACACCTACACATTCACACACTGATGGCAGAGGCTGCTATAAAGAGACCATCAGAAGTAACTAATCCCATTCACACACATTCCAAGCCACCGGTGAAGCAGCGGGAGCAACTTGGGGTTAAGTCAACAGACATGTTGCTGCAGGAGCTGGGGATTGAACCCTCGACCTTACGACCAATTTAGCCACAGCTTATTATTATTATATATTTTTTTTTTTCAAGCCCTTCATCTGTTCTTCATAACAGAGTTTTTGTCCGTTCTCGTGTCCCAGGTTCTTCCCACCTCCCGTTCCAGTCACATGATCACATTTAGCTTCTCCAATGGGGGCGTGGCCACCATTAGGACCAGTGGTACGGAGCCAAAGATCAAATACTACACTGAACTCTGTGCTGCTCCTGGCAACAGGTGGGTAACCACAGAGACACTGATTATATGTCGAAAGCCTTTAGGGTTGTATATTAAGGTTATTTTGATTATACTATAAAATCAACAAAAATATACATTATAAGATACTGAAATTACAAAAAAGGAAACAGAAAAGTTGTGACCTATTACTTCCTACAGCTTGACTTTTAGATCCAAATATCTTGACTGTAAACTGTTACCCCAGTTGTCACACCACAGTAACTTCATGATGTCATTGTTTGTTGTCCTCTCTGGCTTTTTGCCTCGCCAACAGTGACGTGACACAACTGAAGAAGGAGCTGGATGACCTGGTTGAAGCCATTATTGAAAACTTCTTGGAGCCAGAGAAGAATAAGCTGCAGCCCAAGCCGCAGTAGCACTTCATAAAAAAAAATACAATCCCCTCCAGGACCGGCTATGACTAATATCTCTGACCAGCTTCACACACAACGTCTTAATGAATTCAGAAGGGATTTACGCCTAAACACAGGCTTTTATTTTTATGTTTACAGCTCAGCTTATCACTATTTCATTCATCTTTTTTTATCCAGTTGGACCAAAAACTGATATTTAATCATGACTCTGCCTTTATTTAGATTCCCTGCAGGCTAAGGGCAACGCCTTACACCGTGTCCTAACAGCATGCAAGCGTTATATGTCGCATTGCGCATGATCGCACAGAGGCTTGTCAATACACGGTTTACGGTAAGCCGAAAAAAAAAAAAAAAAAAAGATCCGGTGGTGTTGACAGTCAGTCAGAGCACACCATTTCAATCGTGGATGTGGATATTATTAATGCACCACTATCTCCACTTTGTAAGACAAGCTAACAAGTTCTGTTGACTGAGAAAAGTGAGTGTCAGTGCAGTTTAGAGTCCCCTCCTTCCTCATTCCTCGTCCGTCTACACGAGCAACACAGAGGAAAATAGAAACGGGGCGTCGTCCAATTGGAAACAGTAGAATCGGGCTGATTTTGTCGCTTAATCTCGCTCGCGTCGCATGCTGTTAGGACAGGCCAAAGCCAGGTTTACATCCATCACAATATATCTCAAAAAAATTGCCTTAGCTTGAGATCTGAACAACAGCTATAAAACGTTATTCCTGCTGCATGTGTTTCCTTACATTCATTACTTTTTCATTCATTCCACACTTCCACATCTGTAAAGTGCTGAGATGAAGCGTAACAGAGAAGTTGACGAGAAAGATAAAACGGGTTTAATTTTAAAGCTCCTGTGAGGAACGTTTTGTTGTGTCATTTTTGGCGCCCCCCTGTGGGCAAAGCAGAACCTAATGTCTTTGTTAACCTTGTCCTGATCATGTTTAAAGAAATGTTTTTGATCAAAAAGTCTCATTGTGCTTTCTTTCAAAAGTCAATTGTATCGCTTATTGAGAATCTTAGATGTGGAGAAGAAGGTTGTTTTGTAGTTAATCACTTTGTCTGACACTTACAGTGCAGCTGCTTCAGGCCATCAGACAGCTATACAGAATCATTTTACTGATTATCTCATCAGCTGTTGTAGCTCTTTAAAAGGCCTCACAATTCATTTCAGTCTGTTTCATAACCAGCTAAAAACTCCTCACAGGAGCTTTAAACTTACAACTGTGATGATGTTGTGAACTGGTATAATTAATACTGTAAGCAGAAAGTTAAAAGTGAGGTGTCACAGTTAACTATTAAATATATATTTTAATGTGTTGAATCAGTACTTGATGTGAGTTTTCTGATTTGTAAAATGACTCTGCCTTAAAGCTTAGAGCACCACCAAGTGGAGAAATAGCTTATTACCTGATAAGATAATAAAAGTTAACAGTTCAAGGGACCCTTTAGCAGCAGTCCGTTTTCACAACTACACCCTTTGACCTCACAGTAATTCATTCTAAACAGAATCTCCACTTTCCCAGTGTCCCTTTAATTCATTAAAAAAAAAACTGCTGGCATTGTAATTTCACTCAATAAAAACGCTTCCAAACTGTGCATAAGGGTATTAAATGTTGAGGTGTACTGTATTACACGCACACAAAATCATGACGTGCGGCACGTCTCTTCTGCATCCTCCTGCCCCGCATGCATACAGCATGCATCTGCCATGCCCCGGCAGAGTGTGTATAGAGGAGAGGAGGGAGGTAGAGTCTGTCCTGTCTTCTATAATTAACTCAAACTAGAAACGTCGTCTGCTGCGGGGAGATCGTCCTTCCTCTCTCTCTGCGTGCGTTTATGAAGCCGCACATACTGGTTCATCTGCGCACATCAAACAAGACTGCCGTGAACAGGTAAGGAGGCTGTGAGCGGAGTTAATTCTGATATATTGCTGACAATATCATCAATGCCCTTAAGGAACAGCATATGTAAATACTGCGTGCGGTGAGGTCTGCGTAACCCCGTGCGTAAAAATCGCTCGTTCCGTGCGTAAAAATCGAAATGAACCGCTAAAGTCGGGCAAGTGAGGCTGCGCTCCACGAGTATAACATCTCATTCTAACTTCCGTTGCTGCTCTGGTGCAGAGGACCGACCGACATAGCGTGCTGCACAGTCCCAGCGGGTTTAGATTAAAGTAGAAGTGTATTGCAAGGTCAAATATGAGGTACGTAAGAAACCGCCCCTTCAACTTAAACGTTTTGAGTCTTTACCTAATATGATCTCAACGTTTTATAACGTGGTTCCTTTACCGTTTCCCACAAATCTCTTTGAGCTGATAAAAGACAACAGTCATACAGTGTTGAGAATGTCCTTTACGTTTGTTTATGTTGGATGGAAGGAGGGGCGAGCTGAACCTCTATATCTCTCCCTCTCTTTGGTTGACAGGCGGCCGGCCAAACTTGATCCTCATAGTTCAGCTGTAATGTGTATGTGTGTCCTTGTGTAAATGTCTAGGTCAGAATTCAAGCCATGTGTTTCTGGTTGGGTAAACAACACCAGGTGGTCATTTTGTAGTACCCTCCAAATGACCCTGAGGTTTTCACTCTAAACCTTTAAAGATTAAACATCCAGGGTACACATTTAATTGTATCTCTTCCTCTGTGTTTTAAAAATTCCCCTCAAAATGTTTTGCAGGTAAAACCAGAGGCAGACACTGACTCGGGCACCTGCCATGGAGGGGCTCTACTTCGAAGTGAAGCCCAGGCCAGGGAGCTCTGAGAAACCTCCTCTTCATCATATCTCAAACCCGGGCTCCAGTCCGTCGCTTTCCCATCTCTCCTTCTCTTCGGTGTGTTCTCAGAAAGTCACCTCTGCTGAGAAGAGGGTTACAACATGGGGAGGACGGGTAGTGGACGAAGCGGAGTTAGAGGAGGAGGTACGGTACAGACTGACATTGATCGGCTCTCTGCCTGTGCACCCGCGGACCACCATGGCCATGCTGCCCTGGGTGGTGGCCGAGATCAGTCGGTGTCACTCTGCAGAGAAGGAACCGGCTGCTGGGTCTGTAAGTCCAGGTGGAGGACAGTTGGCCCCTCCTCCTGTAGTCACACTGTTCTTCTGTGTGTGTCGGCCTCATGGGTGCGGTGTATGTCCGTTCTTGGAGAAAAGGTCGTGTGGGACCCGCTGACGCACACGGTGCTGTTTGAATGTCGTCCTCACCAGGTGACCAAGCTCCTTCACAACAGCCAGGAGCCCCGCAGCTTCGGCTGCCTGGTCAGAGAAGCTCCAAACTGTGCCTGCTACGTCTTCCAGTGCCAGGACAGCACCAAGGTAGGTGTGTGTAAATAAGTGAGAATACAAATCTCATACATGTGTATAAAAATAAACAAGAATGGCAAATGTACGTTATAAAAACAAAGGTTACAAAGGTGAGGGTAAATGTGCCTGCTGAAGCTGAAACTAAGGCCTCAACGAACAACATGATTGGATCTGTCAGAAAGAGGGGCACATTATGAACAAGCTCCAACTGTGCCAAATACTCCAGCATCGTCACGCCGGAGCCGAGGAGGATGATGTTTGATACCAATTATAGCTGCATATGTCAGCCATGAGAAAAAAAAGTCTGGTAACTACAAGACGACAGACAAACAAATTCAATCATCTGAACTCCAATGGCATTTAATCAATTCTGTATTATTAAATAAATCAAGATTTACAGGCACATGACGAAGTATATCACACATAAATATATCCTCACAAGCTCAGCCAATAGGCATGTCAGATAAAAGAAACTAGAGCAGAAATAAATGCTGAACAGGAGTCCGTCTGACAGAAAATCTCTTTATATATGTTTTAATAAGTGACCAAAAATACTGCCTGAGCATTCAAGATTTTAAGATTAAGATTTACTTTTATTGATCCCGTGAGGGGAAATTCTGTTTTTACACTCTGTAAGTCATGCAACACTGCTCATGAGCCAAGAGAGAGAAAATCACACATTTTATATGCATGAGCACTCTGCAAGTCATGCAACACACACACAAACACATAAACACACACATTCGGTGTGACCGCGTAAGCATTTGTCATGACATCCCTCTGAGGCCTCACTATAGAAGTGTGTGTACTGTGCCACAGTGCTCCCCTCAGCAATGCCAACAAACACATTCCCCTCGCTCCGCCGTGCCGACCAGCACACTCCTGACCTCAACACTTTCACCTATCCTCCACATGGCACACTCTGCCAACGGCCTCCGAGCAATTTAAAGCCGCACGCAGCTGGTGTCCCGAAGCCGCGCCTGAAATCGATAGCTTCTTCAACCCCGTGCCATGACCGACATGCCGAAGACTTCAAACAGCCAGCTGAAAAAAGAGACAACAAACAATACGTAATTGGAAACTTAATCCGAAGAAGTCAAAATATTAAATGCATGATTTTCTCTCTCTTGGCTCATGAGCAGGTTTCTGTGCTCACATAACAAATACCTGCATATACTGTAAATAAATGAAGAGCCAGCATGTACTGTAAATAAAGCAGAGTGTGTGTATACACATCCCTACATCCACTGTTTGTGCTGTAAATGCACACATGCAGATAAACATGAACTTCAGTATATCTTTCATACAGGCTGTTAGTTGTTGTGATGACTGTGCAGGTATTTTCTTCACTGAGAGTAATTGCACTTTTTGTTTTTACATGAACTGAACAGGATGTGGAACATAGTTACCATAGCAACCACTTCCTGTGGCTTGGTGTCACTTTTGATATATTTGCGTTTGTGTGTGTGTGTGTGTGTGTGTGTGTGTGTGTGTGTGTCTGTGTGTGTGCACAGCACTTTCAGGAATGTGGTGATGATGTCACTCTGACCACCTGTTACTCTTGCTCTGTCCCACACACACACACACACACACACACACACATTTACATAAACCCTTCATGAGAGTTTAATCATTGGACACTGCTCTGTTTTCTTTATAAGATGTTATTAAATACAGTAAAGGTGTAGGATTAATTGCAGTGAACAACAGAAGGGTTATTATGAACATGCCCGGCCCTTCAGAGCAAACCCAAACACACACTTCTAATCTACTAACATAATCATGCACACACTTAACACACACACAATCACACTCTGCCTTTCTCTTTTTTTCAAGTGTGGGAGGTGTATGCAACGAGCAGCTACATCACAATTTCATATTCAAAACATTCAGATATTTCTTTTCAAGGCTTGCATTACAACAGTCCCCATGAAATGAAAAATACATTTTCCTGTTTTTTTATTTTTTACTCATTATTTGAGTTTTAACATCAAAATAACAGTATTTTATTTTCTTATAAAACATTTTACATGTCTGATGAGTGATGACTCATCCTGCACTTAGGGACGTTTACTAATGTTTCAGCCAATTAAATAACTTTGTTGAAGCTAATAATCCAATCAAATGAATCCCAACATATTATGTACCGCCTTCCACCTTGTGATTGTTTCTATCTCGTTTCAGTTGGAAATAGGGCATCATGCATGGCAGTTAGCTACTCTGGAAGTTTAGTTTCATGGGGACTTTAAAGCTCCTTGAGGAACTTGAAGTCTGTGTTGATTTGGCGCCCCCCTGTGGGTAAATTGGTACATCTCATCTCTTTGCTGATTTTGCCCTCTACATGTGTAGGAGCTGTAATTTGACATCTCATCCTGCTTTTACCTTAGTTAAAAGTCAAATATCTCCCTCATCAAGAAAAAGGCTGTTTCAGCAGCTTTTAGCTCAACTCTGAGTCTGACACCTACCTCCCCACATGTACCATAGAGAAATAATCAATAATCAATCTTTTGGCTGACCAATACAACCAATTTCCATGTATAAACTTTAGCACTGAGTGAACATAAAATCGTTGTGTGTAAAGAGCTGCAGGCGCCGACATTTTGTCGTCATGTGCAAACGTATATCTTGAAGTTTAATACACTTTTTTAGTACACACACTAATTTCGGCATAAATCTAACTTATTGAAATGGTTTTATTTTAAAATATGCCATTTTTAAATAATTTGCAATTGTTTTTTTTTTAAGGGAACACACGACCCGCCTCTTAGTGTCTTGCGACCGCCCGAGGGGTCCCGACCCCCCCTTTTGGAACCACTGTATAAGCTAATACCTAATGACAATTTAGTTTAAAAAAAACAACAACTGGTATCATATAAATGTTGGAAATTATTTATTAGTCAGCAATATTTAAAACCCTGAAGAGATAAAGAGAAATGTCTTGTTGGATTTCAGCTGCTGCTCCTGAAGTGAAAAGTTACCACTTGGTGTCCCCACAGTATTTACAAAGTTCACAGTGTTTCTGTGTATACAATACAGGTTATTGGTTTGTTTCAGTGCAGTTACTAACAGTTTGTGTTCAAAAAGCCACTTACCCTTAAGTTCTGTCTGTAATCAATCATCATTTTGATGTAATCATCAAAAAAAATATTTAGTTAATTATTTTTCATTCAATATCATTCAGAATCATTATTACTTAACTTACTCTAGTGAGTGAGACCAGATGATAAATAGTTTTTCTTAAATGTACTAGTATGTACACAATATTCAAATATTCACAATTATAGATACTCATTTCTGAAACTATCCGGTTGTCAACCAGTCCACATTTGGCTGGTAAACAGTTTTCTTATCAACACTGACATCTTATTTGAGAATATACCGTTCAATGACCACAAAGTATTAGGTTTTTTTTTTTAATATGTCGCAAACTTTAATATTTTCTTGTAATTAGTGTTGCTTGACGATAAAAATCATTTTCATACACTGTGAAGTAGCTCTTCATTAGAAACTGCTGGTACCTAGTCATGGTTAAAAAATACTTTGACATGGCATAGTTTAGAGTTGTTTTTTTTATTATAATTTGACAGTTTAAGTTGCTTGATATTATAGTCAAAACAGGGTCAACTAGTGTCTGAGGTATTTCTCCCATTCCTCAAACAGTTTGAAATCTTCTGGGTCATGAAGGTCACTCCCAGCAGCAGTGCATCCCAAGGGCATTAATAACTGCTGAACTGTGCCTGCTGTGCCTCTGGACAGGAAACACTGTGTATATATATATATACTGTGTCTAAGTAGATTACAGACACTATCTAAAAACAATCATGTAACGGTAAAGTGGAAACCCCCCCCCCCCCCCCCTCCAAAGTGTACCGCCTAAAGTTTGACTGACCCGGGACAGGAACTGTGTCCACCCTTTTCTCTCAGTTTATTGGTGGAACAAGCTGCGACAAGTTATTCACAGTTTGCCACAATCAATCCGGAAATGTATTAACATTCCTTCAAAATAAAAGCACATCACAGTACTTCTTAAGCGATACCCGTATAAAGCGATTGGAACGATCTTACTTTGAAAATTTTTCAAACCGGATGAGTTGTAGCTATTTTGTGTGGACTTGACAGTCAGGATCCACCTCGGGCTCCAGGGAGCAGCGAAATGAACTTTCCAATGCAATGATATTGAAGAGTCCCACACTTGTCAGGAGCGAGTTGCGGGAGGAAAGTTATCACACACGGGTCATTGTTTTTTTGTGAGAGTTTATGGCGGATGGGATGAAAGCCCGACTCCAGCGACTGAACTTGTTCAACAGCAGACAGCAGCAGAGAGATGTAAGTGACGCTAAACGAACAGTTAGCTGAAGCTTCACGGAGGGACTTCAACAACGTTAACATTAGCTTCACTAGCATAGCGTTTTGTTTGTCGTGTTTAAAAAGTTAAGTTTCTTGAAGTTACAAAACAGTCGTTACATGTTCAGTACAGTTTCCTCATCACTGACGTTTCAACATTACATATCAAGTTACCTGAGGCGTGTTGTCTTAAAGTCACATGTGTCTGTGTGTGTTAAATTAACTTTAACATACTTGGGGCTCTTTTTTTGTTGTTGTTGTTGTTTCTATTAAATGAATATGATGTCTGGGGGTGTTTCTGTGTAGTCTTGGTCAAGCAACGTCGTGTTACCTTAACTGGTCAAGAAGTAATGGGTGGAAAATGTCATCCCTGCTGGTTGTAAACACTGAGTCTCACCTAGATTTATACAGCCAGACATCAGTGGTGTAGTTCAGGAGGCTGAAGACACTTTAATCATATTGTCAGCTGAATTTAATGCCATTTTTTTTCAAACTTCCCATGAAGTATTGTTCATGCATGTACAGAGATCAGTAAGTGCATGTTTGACAGGTTATTAAATGGGGATTTTAGCCCAACCTGTACTGTAAATGATGCACATTATTTATATGCTGCCAGCCCTTGTTACAAAATGTGTGGCAGGGGCTGAATAATAAAGATAAAGATAAAC